GCTCCGGCCGGACAGGGCATCATCACAGTATGGTGAGGGGCGTAACATTTCCGTCTCACGGTTGAGGTATTCGGCCAATCACAACGCACTGGATAGCAGGCCAATCAGAGCACACCTCGCTTTTCAGACCGATGAGCTTTGTAAAAATTGACGCGTTTCAGAAAGGCGGGGCATAGAGGAGAAACAATAATGTACAGTATGTGTTTTTTTAACCTTAAACCACATAAACACATTTCATTACACCAAATACACAAAATAATGTTCTTTTTAGGAACATCATATGACTCCTTTAAAAGATGCACACACTCACTCACATGGCTCAGTATTGTTAGCCTTTAGCGTTCCCTAGTTCCTGTGTTTTCCTAGTTACTTTTTCCTTGCCTTGCCTTGTTTTTTGACCTTGGACTGTTATCTGGTTTTGTGATCGTTTGCTGCCTAGCCTTGACCATTGCTTGTTTATTGAATTAATCTTTTGTCTGCCCTGGATTATACCTGGTTGCTGCTGTTTGACCCTGCCTGTTTTGACCACTCTTTGAATAAAGGCTGCATTTGGATACTCAACTCCGTTGTCACGCCTCCCACGTTACAATCATTTTCTGGTGGTGTAATCCCTGAAATTAAAACATAAGCATTAGAATCATCATTGTCCTGCATTACCGTAGCAAAATGCAGAGGACAGAAAGTCAATGAATGTGAAAATAGCAAAGCAACAAAGGGAAATGCAGGAAATAATAAATGAAAGGTAAACAAAAAAGCGTATTATGTGAAACGAAGAAAAACCATTCTAAACACGAATTAAAGGAAAAACAAACAATAGAAGCAAACAAATAAGAGGGAATGAAAGAAAAGAGAAGTCAGCAGGGGAATAAACAAGTGGTTAAAATCTATAAATCTGCAGCCATTCATTTTCTTATGTGAACCGTTTATGCTAGAAATAAAAAGAGGAATTTAAACTCATCCGATGGCGAGCAGGAAACCCGAAATGAAGACACCATACAGCAAAAACATTTAATCTGTGTTTCCCAGATAATGTTGTCACTCATGCTCTTATGATCATCTTAACTAACACTGTGCTTTATTTTACCAAGTTTCCCAAACAGCATTTAAATTGCTTAAGTAAACATGAAGTGCATTGTTACAGGTCCCGTTAAGTCCAAAAAAAACAGTGCTGCCAAACATGTTATCTTCTTAAGACACTGAAAGTTATTAAACATTATTCAATATAGTAAAATAAATATTTCTGACTTGTATTTCAGAAATGTTAATGCTGAAGTTACCACAACCTACAGTTAAGCTCCTTTGGTCTGAAATTTTGGTCTGAAAAAAGAAAGGGAAATGCAGGCCATAAAGCTTCAATTGAATTCAAAACTTTACAAAAACTTAACATAACTTCTGCCTGAGCATAACTCACTTCTGGCTAGGTCAATCCAGGACTCTCAAGCAGCTGGATATTTACACTTAGTTTTGATTTATCATTGCCATTTTATAACTCTTTCAGAATCAGCACAGACCTTTCATACTGTAACTTTAAAACTTTTGGAAGTGCTGCTGTTTAGAAAGAGATGTGTGTAATGAGGCTTGAAGTACATCAGGGGATGCAAATCTGAACAGAACAGCACAAATATAATGTGCTAGCTGTCATTTAATATTGCAAACTGACGATTTGAATGGAGAAATGTTGATGTCGGAACTAAGCCAGAGTAGGGATGGGTATCGTTTACATTTTATTGATACCGATACGATACTGCTTATCGATACCAATACTTACCGATACTGTTATCAATACTATTTAGTGCAAAAAGATATGATGTGAAAAGTTGTTGAAAATTTCAAGTTATTTTATTACTGCTGAATTTAGCAACTGTATTAAAGTTCTTCAGTCAAGAGCAGTGAGTTATTTTTCTCTTTGTGTTTTATTTTATTAACATTAAAGGAATAGTTCATCCAATAATGAAAATTGTCAACATTTACTCACTCTCAAGTTGTTTTTAACCCGAATGAGTTTCTTTCTTCTGTTGAACATAAAAGTTATTTTGAAGAATGTGGGAAACCAAACAGTTGATGGTCCCTAGTGACTTTCATATTTCTTTTTCCTACTATTAAAGTCAGTGGGGCCCAGCAACTGTTTGGTTACCCACATTCTTCCAAAATATCTTCTTTTGTGTTCAGCACAAGAAATAAATTAATACAGGTTGGTACAACATGACAGTTAGTAAATAATGACAGAATTGTAATTTTTGGGTGAACTGTCCCTTTAATGACAATCGGCAGCATGTTTAGTGTTGCTTTAAGAGCTGCACGCATCTGTTTTTCTCTCAACTGTTTACTTTCACTTTAGACATAAGTTAACTAACTGTGTGTATATGTAAACCTTGTGTGTTTTTGAGAGTATTGGCGCAATCAGTCGCTAACCAAGTAATCGTGTGCTGTTTGACCGGCTTTTTAGTGTATGCACTCAGGTGTATGCGCTCTGAATAAGCACACGTCAGAACAGCACGCAAATAAAACGTTTAACCGGCAAGGTTTTAAAGCACACGAAAATAATGTACTTTTCTAATTGCGAATAAGTGCAAAGTCTCGTGAGTGTAACTCTAGCGCTGAATTAACATTTGATGTGAATGTGTCTAATTGCAGTTGGAGCTGAGCTGGAGCCGGGAGACATAGGTAAATACAACGCATTGCTTGAGGTAGATGTTGTGTTTTGTAAGTAAATGTTTGTATTACTCGTGTTGCCTCCTTTGTTCACTATTACACTACTCCATATATTGCATCTGACACTGCTGTCGCTTAGTTTTGTAACGTGAGTCCTCACTTTCGAACGTTTCACCGCCACTGATTGCACGCATACACACACCGCACATGCGCATGGATATCACACGCACGTCGAGCAAACGTCGGCCACATCATTCAGTGAAGAAAAATAACAAGCAGCAGCTTCTAATTCGCCATTAACATTTAATTATTCGGAGATAAAACAACGCAAGTATTGATAACAGTATCGTTTGTCCTGACACTTATCGGTAGTCCGGTATTGACCCAATTACGTACGTGTTGTGCCCATTTTCGACTCCCTGCCAAATTATTACCCCCTCGTTGAAATCGCTACCTGATTGCCTAATCCTAACCCCTCCCCCACATCTAACCCTAAACCTACCAATACTAGGGGGGTAATAATCTCGCGGGGGTCAGAATTGGGCACAACACCGGTCCAAAAAAATACCGGTTCTCGGTAGCCTACCCATCCCTAAGCCAGAGTGGCAACTGCGATTCTGTGCATTTATAGCCATTCTAAACAAAACAGACTGTGTGACACTTATATCCACTATCAATAAGCAGAATAATTACAAATGAGTCCTGAAACTTCAACATTCTTATAAAAATGCGAAAAACATTGCACTAGGCATCTGAAACGACACAAAGTTAGGCTGGACAAAGCACAGATTTAAAAGTGACAAGGCTGACAATTTCCAAGGCAGGCAATTGAACACTATAACAGGATAACAAGAGACAATGCCCAAAGTCTAGTTTAGTATGCTTATTTATTTATTGCTGCAAGGGATGTGAAACTTGTTAAAACCCTTACGAAAAAGAAGTTTATTCAAGTGTGCTATTAGTATAACAGTATACAAAATCAAGTAGTCACAAGCATGAGGAAGGGCAGAAGCCCAAGGGAGGAGATGTTAGTCTCACGTCTTAGAATGGGTCACACTGGTTTAAATACAACATTGCACAGAATAGGAAAACATCCCACTGGATTATGCACTTATTGTAATGTACAAGAGACAGTGAAGCATATACTGTTAGACTGCAAAAAATATGAAGAAGATAGGGCAGAATTAAAGGCACAAATGGATGAACAAAGCATGACACTTGAGCATTTATTAGGGAAAGCATCTGGGAGAATACACAATTTATTAATGTTATTTTTGAAAAACAGTGGGTTAAGTGAAGGAATTTAATAAGGATTTTTTTTTTTTTCTCCCCCCTCCACCTCTCCTTTGATGTCAGACTAATGCCCACACTCCAGTCTAGTAGGTGGCGGTAATGCACATTTGAGCTGAGTTGCCATCCTCCATTAAACCTGAAAGAAGAAGAAGAAGAAGTGGCAAGGTGTACTCTCAATCTGAGATGGAGCTAGTCTGTGCAATCTAGAACTTTTATTTTTATTGCTTTTTGAATGTAGAGATACAGCAGCGTATTTATGAGATTTGGGAGGCTCTTGTTTTGTAATTCCAAATCAGACAGTCCTGAAACGACGCAGCTGACACTGTGGGAAGGTGTACTCTCAATCTGAGGTGGAACTGGTCTGTGCAATCAAGAACATTTATTTTTATAGCTTTTTGAAATTAGAGACAAAACAGCATATATATGGAAGTTGTGGGGGCTCTTATTTTGTATTTCCACATCAGACAGTACT